AAAATAAGCCTTCCCACGCGCATGAACACTGTTCTTCAACACTGCATGCTACACTGAATAGTAGAATTTAAAGGACTGAGGGAGGTACATGTACCAGTACTGTAAGTACATTGTACATGTATACATGTGTAAATACATGTAACAGTCTCCATTATATTACACTAGGTCAGAAAGAAAATGCTATTTGTTTACTACACAATAAAAGATTCAAATGGGTTTAGGTCAGTACCCCTAATGCAGTTTTACCCCATTGGGTAAGCAACGCATCAATGCTTGACTACATGAAGTTGAACCCAGAACTACCAGGAGACAAATATTAGTTTGTTTTGTCATAACCAGCTACATGTGTAAATGCCCCTTCCAAGGTTCTGCACTAATGGTCTACCGGTAACTTCACCATTATTTAAATTAACCCTCCTTGCTGTTGCGCCCAAAACAGTCAAAAATTCCTTCCACTTGATTTCCCCCAGTACACAGACATACATGTACATGTATGGAAAATTTGACTGATTTTGACTGATATGACAACCCGACAACTGTGTCAAGAATGTGTCTTTACACAGGAGGGTTTAGAACTCTTCTAGAGTGAGTCTGTACTGTACAGTATGTTAGCATGCACTATACTGCACCTGTACATGCACTAGTACCTTATACCACGGACCCTCTACATGTACATGTACTCAAGTAGACGATGGACCTTCTACTCAAGTAGAAGGTGGACCTTCTACTCAAGTAGACGCTGGACCTTCTACTCAAGTAGATGGTGGACCTAATACTCAAGTAGAGTGTCTGTGCTTATACGTACATATACATGTACATGTATACTGAATGCACATGTACATTGCACATTGTGCAAGTTGTATGTACATGTACATGTACCAGTATACATGTACATGACATCAGTACATACTGGAACAGATCAAGTAAACATGTGTAGTGTACAAATGCACACGCACGGTACAGTACATGTATGGTACTTGTACACGTACAATCGAACAGTATGTACAGTATATTATATGTACAAGTACATTGTACATGTACCGTATAACATGTGTTATACATGTAACTTGGGTGTGCATGTATATGTACCGGTACATGAACTGGATACACGATGCAGCTCAGAAAATACCATTTGAACTTTACGGTATGGAACATGTACATGTAGTACTGTACAGCGTATCACTTATTCTGCAACATTATTTTGCAGATGAAGAATTAATACAAACACTTCACAAACATACATGTACATGTGACAGAAAATAAGAGAAACATTTCAAATGATTCTTCTTGTGCACAGTTTTGTGAAGGTTTATAAAGCATGTACATGTATGATGCCCTTGTTGAGGAACAAAATGAGTCATTGATCATGGACATTAAGCACAAAATGGGCTTGAAATAAAGCCTAAAGATGACCACAGAAATACAGCCCTCAAGAACACCCAGGAAAAGAGAAAGCTCTCCTCTAGCTTTTACATGTAAAGTACATTTACATGGTACAAGGACATGTACACATTGACTGGCACCCATCCAGTCACATGTGCTGATGTTGTTTGCAGAATTTGACAAGGACTTCTCCAAGGGAAAAAGAGAGAGAGAGAGAGAGAGAGAGAGGACTTGGTAATGATGCGCTGATGGACATGGGGCATTTCGTCAGCACAGAAGGGGCTCAAGACATCCAAGATGAAGATGAGGTACATGTACATGTACCATCCATCTCCTGACGCTTCTCAAACCAAACACAGGATTGGGATGGGGATTACTGACGACACTCTGCACTTTACCATCAGCCTTGGTTTGTTATGATGTGACCACTTCAGTTAATGAAGTTGACAGGTTAAAGTGGCTCACCCATCAGTGAGTTTCCACAAAAAAAGATACCAAAATAATAATAAGGAAACATTTACTGGTACATATACATGTACATTTTACTATACAAATACACTCAACTGCGCTGACAATACC